GACTGGCCTGTGGCCATGTCCATGGAGCATCTTCTTGATTGTTGAGTGATGTGGGAGGGCCCAGCCCACTGTGGGTGGTGCCACCCCTGGGCAGGTGGACCTGTGTTGCATAAGAAAGCAGGCTGAGCAGGGGCCAGGGGAGCAAGCCAGTAGGGCGCGATCCTCCATAGCCTGTGCTCCAGCCTCCAGGTTCCTGCCCTGAGTTCCTACCTTGGACTCCCTAATGAACTATGACCCGGAAGATGTAAGCTAAATAAACCCTTTCCTCCTCAGATTGGTAGTGGTGAGAGTGTTTTGTCACAGCAGTGGAGAAACAAACTAGGACATCAGGCTTTGCTTTGATCCTTGATTTTTTTTTTTTCAGAGAGAATCCCTGTGGGATACAGATCCCATTCCCTTAGTCAATCTGGTTGCCTTTCATAACTTGAACGTACTCTTATATTATGCTCATGTTATCTATTTCTGAATTGAGGATTAGGCCAGGGAATAGGAGGGCTGCTGTTTCTCTTACCGTCTTCACAAGAGCATGTCCATGGATCATACAGAGTCCCACCTACAGTGCTAGTTTCACCTCACAGCTTCTCATGCAGCTCCACTTTACAAGACAACTAACCTCTGGATGCCCTTTGTCAGAGATAGTTTGCAGGCTTCTCCATGGACAGGAACCTGGGCCTCAGGGGGTCTATGAAACAGGGTGCCAGGAACAAGACTCGGCAAGAAGAAAAGCGATAGAAGTTTACAAAATTTCCAGCTCATTCCAGATTCCTCCCATTACCATTGTCTTAAATTTTAATTTATTGAATTGCAAGTCGTTTGTGGAGAGCTGTGTTCCACTCCTCCACTCATGTTTCAACAAGTGAGGAACCACATCTGAAACAAATGAGTACATGGAAATTGTTCAAAGAGCTCTAGACACCAGTGCCCTGTGGTTATGCTTAGCATGGTTGCATTAGACAAGATGCATCTCCCCATTTTATCCCCCAATGAAAAACTAAAGCAAATTACATGAGAATTTAACTACAGAAAAAGCTAATACCAATCACAAGGGACACGTGTATATTTGTACTTTCTGCGTTCCAAACAGTCACAGGGATAGACGTGATCTACATACAAATACACAGACCTGAAAACTGTTAATTTATGGTACAAAACCTAGGACAGATGATATACAGCTTTCTAAGACTGTTATACAAATTCCCACAAGCAGAGCATCTTGAAACTTCACAAGTGCATTCTGTCACACCTCTGGCGACAGGAGACCTGAAATCAAGGTGAAGGCATGGCTAGACCATCTGCTTCTTTCCCCTTCCTCCCCAAGCCTCTAACTTTCTGCACTGTTGAGACATCTCAAATATATCCCAGAGATCTGGTTACCTCATCAAGCTGAAAGGATGATTAGCTCATGAGCAAAATTCTCAAGTTGAGGTCTACATCCCTTTTTTATTTTTGTTGTTAGTCCTAGGCTGTTCCTTTACTGTACACCATGGCTAAAATCTCAGAGACACTGATCCATCTTTGCCTGGCTTTGCTACATAGGAGGGTGATACTTTTTCTCTTTCTTTTATTTTCCCTTCCTTTCTTCCTTCTCCTCTTCCTCTCTCTCTGTCTCTGTCTTTCTCTATCTCTTCATCTTGTAAATCCTTTTTATGTTGCCAAGGACTTTGTTTCTTCTAAATCTCTTTTTATTTTCTCTTACAATCAGTACCAGGGTTTGCTGTTTTAGGTTGTTCCCTCTATTTGTTCCCTCTCCATCTGGAGATGGAGTTACAGTCTAATTCACCTTGAAGCTGAAAGGTGAATTTCAAGAAGAGACCTTGTCATCTGTTCTCCTTTGGAAAAAGACACATTAACAGGCTGAGGGACAGGGTAGTAAAAAGGGCAGCAGTCCGAGGCAGAAGGCTTCCAGTCTAGCCCTCCTCCAGTGACAGCTTTGTGTCATTGTTCTTGCTAGTCATACCTGAAAGAAGCTCCTGGCACTGACTCATGATGCCATTTTCTCTTATTGATACTGGATGTCTCCAGATAACTTTATTGAAGAGTTTCATCCTCCCTCTCACTAGCAACAACTTGTACCATTGTGGGTACCTCTCCAATGTACCTTCCCGCCACAGCACATCGCTGTCAGAAGAGCCTTTGGAGTCAGAGCAGCCCTCTTTCCCATCCCTCTCTCCTCCTCCTTAGCTATGTATTTAGGGCTTGTTGCCAAACATTTCCAAATCTCAGTTTTTCCATCTATACAGTGGAGATAACAACACTCAGCTTATAGATATGCCATGAATATTAAGTATATTCATACATCTATCCTATCAATATATAAGTATATAAATATATAGAGTGAGGTGCTGGAGACAAGGTGCATTATTCCAAGAATGCACTGTGACCTGGCAGCTTTGTATTAGTTTCAACACTTCCTCTAACAAAAGTTTGCTCTTAAAAGATTTTTTTAAGATCTCTCTGTTGAGATCCATAGCCCATTTTTTAATCAGGTCATTTATTTTCCTGCTTCTTCTTTTTTTTTTTTTTAATGCTCTTTGTATATTCTGAATATTGGTCCTCTGTTGGATGAATAGCTGCTGAAGGTTTGTAGGCTTCCTCTTCATTTGATTGGTTGTTTCCTTTGCTGCACAGAAGCTTTTTAGTTTAATGAGGTCCCATTTGTTTATTGTGGACCTTAATTCCTGAACAACTGCCGTCCTTTCCTGTACCTATATGTTGCAATTTCAGTGTTTCAGACATCACATTGAGGTCTTTAATCCATTTGGAAGTTGACTTTGTGCAGGGTGATAGGGGTCTAATTTCATTCTTCTACATGTGGAGATCTGAAACACCACTTGCTGAAGATGTTCTTTTCTTCAGCAACTTTTCCAAATATCAGATGGTTGTAATTGTATGCACTCATGTTTGGGTCTTTGATTTTGTTCCATTGATCTAAAAGTCTGTTTTTGTGCTAATACCATGCTGGTTTTATAACGATGGCTCTGTAATCCCTGAATAGGTCAGCTATTACTCTGCCTCCCAAGGCTCAGGGATCATTCGAGAAGAGGAGGCAGAATGATCGTAAGAGCCAGAGAGGGTGGATGACCACAAGGAAATAGTCTTCCAGACAGCTGGTCATTTACTCATATGAACTCTCAGCAATGGTGACAGCATGCATGAGTTCTATGCAAGCTCAAACCAGACAAAATCCCAGAATAGACATGGGGAAGTGGGTAAGAAATCCAGCCCAACCTAAGGAACTTTTGGCAATTGATAACTCCTGGGAGGGGGAAAAGACAGTGTCTTACAGAGTTGGGACTTTTGGTGGGCCCAGTGAATGGATCCACACCGAAGGACACTTGGGGACACAAATTATACTTTATAATATATATATATATATATAATACATATATGTAAATGAGGTTCATTACATTGGTTGGGGAGCAGTGGGGAGAGATGAGGAGGGGTGCAGATATAAATTCTAAATTCCATCAAACTATATTGTATGAAAATTGCAAAAATTCATTTAAAAATGCAAAAAAAATGTTTTAAGATATTTTTTACAAGACTTGAAACTCCTAAAGTCAAACAGTACCCAGCATCACATACTCTTAGCACTCTCTCACTATGACTTGATGAGACTATCTTGGTAGCGGCCAACTCTTTCTTGCCCTCCTGGTTCCTTCCCCAGTCCTATTTTTTGGAACTCAAGACAACCTTCATGTTTTGCCTGAACTTATAAAGCACATAACAAAAAAATCTCACATGGATTTGAATATCTTGCTGTTGGTACATTAGCCTTGCCTTGTCCTTGAAGAACTGAAGCACCCAGTAAAGTTAGTCTCACAGGACTGCTCAAACTAGATATGGAAACTAAATTCTGGTAGAAATTCTGGATCAGATTTCTGTAAAGTGATTGTTTACTTGTAATCATGCTTGAATCATAATTGTCATTTTCAAGCAAATGGAAAATAGTTTCTGCCTTCAGTGTGAACAAAGGTGTGTGCTACGTAATGTCCATGAATGAGCTATCAGAAATATACAAGGAGGTATGACATGACACAATTTGCTAAGTTAAACACTTGCCTATTTCAGACCTCTAATGACTATATTTACCTTCCCCTTTGGCTTCTTAGGTTTTCCCACTGAAAAGAGAAAAACTCAGAGAAATAAGACAAGAGGAAAAGCTCTAGAAGATGGTTGTAGATACTCCATCTAAAACTTCAGCCTGAAGTAGAAAGCAAATAAATGTTGGAGAGCACAGGGCCCCTCAGTGAGGAGTGAGGGCTGATGCAGAGGAGGTGCTGAGCATCCCAGGGCTTCTTTATTCCAAGTCTGTATATGATGTCCACACCTACAGCCCAGTTTGGCACAGCACAGGCTCTGGTTTCAGCTGCATGTGGGGATCTCTGGGAGGTTGGTGTGATTAGCTCATTCTCAGTTGGCTGAGTAGACATATACTGCGAAGGAAACTTACAGATGGGGCACTGAAAAGGAGGGAGTTTGCTGGGGTCATCAGAGGCAGCTTCATTTCCCATTCTGTGTTAACTGGCTTCAGATGCCTGCTTGCAACTCAGCAGTGTCTCAAAAGTCCATCAGTAACAGTGCATTTTCTTCTCCCAAATTCTAACCTAAAAATGTCATTAGTGAGCCAAATTTCCTGCCGAGTACTATGTATGGGGGCAGAGAAGAGGGAAGAGTCACAATATAGGGTGAAGCCTGAAAGCGGATAAGCAAGGTTTGACAGCCACACTACAGAGTGGGTAAGGGAAACAGAAGTTAAACGTGGGACGAGGAAAGCAGTGAAGTCCTGCAAATCTTGGAGTAAATGATTGTCTCATTTTGTGGTTGGTATCCATTATCACTGTCATCACCATCATCATCACTACCACCATCTCCAGAACAGCTTACTAGAGAGGAACATTCCTCTGAAGATTGGCTAATCATTGATGCTCTTTTCATGTTCATTGTATGGTGTTGTGGGATGGTCCCAAATATGACACCTCCCTCGTTTGATTGTGTAGGTTGAGCCAGTGGTAGAGAAAGGCCATGAGAGCTTGGTCCACCACATCCTGCTCTATCAGTGCAGCAGCAACTTTAACGACAGTGTTCTGGACTACGGCCATGAGTGCTTTCACCCAAACATGCCTGATGCCTTCCTCACCTGTGAGACTGTGATTTTTGCCTGGGCCATTGGTGGCGAGGTAAGGCTAATGACGACTGAGACATAGCTCAGTCAATTGACCATGCTTCCTCCCCACATACGGTTCTAATTTAAACATACCACTCCTATACAAAAAGTAATGCATACAGCTTTATTTATATTTCTATTTTCACAGTAAAGGATTCTTTAACTGATTATATTTGATCAGTGATTCATGAATGGTATTCTCAAAGTTGAAGTATCCTGGGGAATGGTTGGATGGACTAGAATTCTTGGAGACTTTCACAGGTCACTGTCTCATGACATGTTTCATATTTAGGGCTTTTCCTATCCACCTCATGTTGGATTATCACTCGGCACCCCATTGGATCCTCATTATGTGCTTCTAGAAGTCCATTATGATAACCCAACACATATAAAAGGTGAGTTATTTTGCCTATGAGCTGGAAAAAGTCATATAGCTATTGTCCATAGCATAGTTGAAATAAAACTGAAACTCCATGTTAGAAGAATTAACCTGTACATTTGCCATCCAAACTAGGATGTTTTAAAAGAAAAGAGAGTGCTATATAAAATTACACTGGGCTGTTAGTCATTAACCATTACCAACTAGGTAAATGGACACATGTGGTCACTAATCCTAAAAAAGGTCCATAGTTCCCACCAGGAAGTAGAAAATAGACATTTTTTCTTTGTGATATAAATTAGTTCCAAATGCATATTGTGGTGTTTATAAATATTTTTTGGGGGGGTGCTAGAGAGATGGCTCAGCTGGTGGGAGCGCTGGCTGCTCTTTCAGAGGCCCCAGGTTCAATTCCCAGCACCATATGGCAGCTTACAACCATCCATAACTCCAATTACTGGGCAAATGACACCTTCTTACCTCCGTGGGCATTACATGACATGGGTGCACTTACATACTTTCAGACAATACATTCATACACATAAAATAAATATAATAAATAAAATATTTAAAGATATTTTCTCTGTGTTCACATATGTGTGTGCACATGTTCGTGCAAGTGTGCATGCACATGGAGGCCAGAGGTTAAGGATGGGTGTCTTCTTCAGTTGCTCTCCATCATACTTTTTGTGCCAGGTCTCTTGTCAGCCTGGATCTCGCTGATTCCACTGGATTGGCTGGCCAGTGGGCCCCAAGGATCCTTCTGTTTCTGCCTCCCCAGCACTGGCATCGCTGGCATGCGGTGGGGGGGCGGGGGTGGAACTCAGGTTCTCATGATTGCACAGCAAACATTTTACCAAATGAGCCAAATATTTCTTTCTAACTGCACATATGTAAAGTGGCCATCCATCACAATAAAACATGTTGGTAATTTGTTGTGTGATAAGCCAACTGTACTCAAGAAATGCCAGATGCAGCAAACTGGGTAATACGAGGTAGGTGTGAGTTAATGCATTTAATTTCTTAATTTATGCAATTTTTCAAAGCAGAACAATCAATAGTTTCAATATGAAGCCATCAACTGAAGCAACTCTATGTATTTTACTTTGTGTAATTTTTCAGCCAACAACAAGCAACAACTATGTACTTGAGGATTAAAATGAAAAGTACAATCTCTCGCCCATGGAAGTTCTAGTCCTGGTTGTTGGTAGTGGTATATGCCTGTAATCCCAGCACTTGGGAGGTTGGGAGAGAAGGATTGCAAATTTGAGGCCAACTTGGTCTATGTAGTAAAATGCTGACTTAAAACAAAATGAAGCAAACAAAATTGTACAGTCCAGTGGGAAAGAGAAGCTATCAAAATAAAATGACATGTATCTGCTAGTTGGTGCAGAAAGCATTTACTTGACTATGTAAGAATATTCAATTAATGAACTGATGTGGCCAGGGGTATGTGGTGAGTGGACTGGAAAACTTTCTTTGCAGAAACAAACTCTTCACAGCTCTACTTCTAGACTCTGCTTTCATATCACCAGGAAAGGTTTAAATTAATTACAGTTAACAAAAGACTTATCATATTTAAATCACATATATCTCCTTATGGTAACATGTCACAAAAATGAATGTATTATTTATCTTTACTCTATATAACTAATATAGTTCTGTTCACATAATAAATTCTTAATAACTGCTTGTTAATTGAACGAGTTTGTTGAACAAATAAGAGAATGGTATTAAGCTATAGAGCCAGCCTTTAGTAGTTTTCTCTTATCGACAAATGATTTTGGTGGTGAAGGATTTACCTGTAAGTAAATGTTGAATGTCACCATAGAACAATATAAAATGAAAGTTCCCGGGGCCAGTCACTATTCTAACGAATGACTTTAGTATTTTTGTTCTGTCTTTCTGTCTCCATGTTACATAAATATGATATATGTCAGCTAGATAATTCAGGTATTATCTCCCATAGCATGTGGTATGGCTAATAGGTTATACACGGCGACTCCTGTTTGAATTTCTGTGCACGAAGCTCATTGTTGTCTTCTATTTATCTCTGCTTGTATTCTTTTCCCTGCTGAATTTTATTCTGAGACAGGGTCTCATTAAATAGCTCTGGCTGGTCTAGAATTCACTATGTAGGCCAGGGTGGCCTGGAACTCACAGAGCTCCACCTGCCTCTGCCTCCTGAATGCTGGGATTAAAAGTGTGCACCATTGGAGCAGTGGTTCCCCTCCTGTGAGTTGGAGCTGTGGTTCTCTCTTGTGGGCTGGAGTTGTGGTCCTCTCCAGACAGCTGGTCAGCTACTCATATGAACGCACAGCAATGGTGACAGCATGCACAAGTCCTATGCAAGTGCCAGTGGATGGATCCCACATTTGGGGATCCAAGCTAGACTCAATAGGCTTTATTATACAGAGAGAGTACATTAAATTGAGGGGAGGAATAAGGGGAGGTGTGGATAGGAGAGGGGATATAAATATCATCAAATTATATTGTATGGGAATAGCAAACATTCAATAAAAATGCTTAAAAAAGTGTGCACCATCATGCCTAGCTCCCTAGTGAAATTTTAAGAAAAATGAATGAATTTGTTTCAAACCAATATGGCAACATTTTAAAGGGAACTTTTTGATATAATTTTTTTCATTTTTTATTAAAATTTTGTGAATTTCATACAACATATCATATTTAGATACCCTCCCCTTTCTTTACCCCCTTTAAGATTCTCCCATATGATTTCATGTACTCTGTTTTATATGTATTAAAGCCTATTGAGTTAAATTTGTGTCCCCAAATGCCCTATGGTGTGGGTCTAACCATTGGAACCTGGTCAACTTATCCAGTGTCACATCATTGAAGAAAATCAACTTTCCCTCTCCCAGCAGCCATCAGTTGCCAATAGTTCCTCAGTTAAGGTTGGGGCTTCTTCCCCACTTCCCCACTTCTATGCTAGGATTTTGTCTGGCTTGAGCTTACAGCTAGCCAACATATAGAGAATAATGAGACTGTAGAGTGCTTATCCCTGAATAGGACACCTATATCAAACCTTGCCACCCAAGGCTCAGGGATCATTATGGAAGAAGGGATGGAAAGACTGTAAGAGTCAGTGGTGGCAAATGAACATAATGAGAACTTTTTTAAGTATTCAGATTCACTCCTTGTTATTTGCTCTTGTTCCAGGCTTAATAGACAGTTCTGGGCTGAGGTTTTTCCACACGATGGATATAAGGAAATATGATGCAGGAGTGATTGAGGCTGGTCTCTGGGTGAGCCTCTTCCATACCATCCCTCCAGGGATGCCCGAGTTCCGTTCTGAGGGTCACTGCACTCTGGAATGCCTAGAAGAGGTATGTGGTGTCACAGTCCAGGAGCTGCCACCTACAGATGAACCCATGCTCTTCAACACGATGCTTTGAAACTTCCATGTTTATGTGTTCAACGATGGCCTCCTATAACACCCTCCTTTCTGTTTCAGTGGGACCTTGGGTAGAAAAGTAGGTTTCCAGAGGGAGGAGCAACTTGCCAGGCGTTTTTCTTCCTTCTTCTATGTCCTTTTTTCCATATTTGACCTGCATCTTAATTTTTACCCGTTTGTGTAGTCTTTTCCCCCTCTTTATTTTATATTTTGTTCGTTTCTATTTCTGCCATTTGTTTTCATTTTTCTCATTTCCTCTGCTTTGTAATTTTCATCAAAGAGCAAGAATAACCTATGTAAAATATACATTGCACAAGGGACACTATACATAAGCATTTAGTAGTGACTATTCCATTGCTATTTTTTCTCTTGAATCAGAATATTTCTAGGATTTTGTGGTTGTACACCGGTGAAGTGGAAAGATTATGTTCTGCGAGTCATTTAGACATGATTCAAATTGCTGTGACAACGTTTATCAGCAGCAGAGCCAGGGTGATTGATTTAATTCCATGGAGGACGGAAAAGTGGGAATGAGTTCTCCTTTCTAGAGCTTGCATTTCACATTACTACCCCACGGAATCTTTTCACCAGGAGCACTGATTGCCTTTTTGCTGCCTAAAAGAAGGCAAAAGAAAGGTACATTTATTGTGGTCTGGTAGGCTTCCTTTCTCCTGTTACATGTTGACCACAAAGAGAACAATCAACAATCCAAAGTGTTTGGCAGCTCAGCCTTTCAGTTAAATTGCTTCATCTTTTCTTGTCAGTTGTACCTCCAAGGATGCTTGAACTGTCTGAGCATGCCCTGTATGGGCTAACCAGGTCTTTACTGTCCCTTCAGGCCCTGGAAGCTGAAAAGCCTAGTGGAATCCATGTGTTTGCAGTTCTTCTCCACGCACACCTGGCTGGCAGAGGCATCAGGCTGCGGCATTTTCGCAAGGGGGAGGAAATGAAGTTGCTTGCGTATGACGATGACTTCGACTTCAATTTCCAGGAGTTTCAGTATCTAAAGGAGGAACAAACAATCTTACCAGTATGCATGTTCCCTTTCTTTTCTAGTGACTGGTGTGTCATGATATTCATCTGCCAAAATGTAGCAGGATTCTACTAGCCAAGTGAATTCCTACCACATCCACATTCCTAAAGCCACCCACTGTGGGTATTGCATAAATCTGAGGGAATGTGTTTGATCTCCTTTCCAAAATTGACACTCACTTTTTTTTTAGCATTCCCTGGGGGCAATGCAAGTTCATGATTAAAGAAAAAGAAAGGAAAAAGGGAAGAAGAACCAAAGCGCTCAGATTCAGAAATTCAGATCACTACCATTACCCCATTATCCTTTTTCTTGGCTCACCAATTAGTGATCCTTTGGGTTGCAATTATGATAATGGTAAAATTGGATGTTATGTTATACCATCTTGAAGAAGGGACCTAGTTTACCAGTTTCATTTCAGTGAAAAATGAACCTAGGATAATTCTTCTGTTAGAAAAGTGGGGAGGGAATGGATCTACCAGTAAGAATTCATGCTGTGCAAGCATAAGGACTTGAGTTCAAATCCACAGCACCCATATAAAAGCTGGGCATGGCCATGTGTGCCTGTTTTCTCTATGTTGGGGTACAGAGACAAGATGATCAGTTACAGTCAGCCTAGCAAAACTTCAGTGAGAGAGCCTGTCCTAAGGGTACAAAACACAGAGAGATAGAAGTCACCCAACATTGTCCTCTGACCTCCACATCGGTACACACACACACACACACACACACACACATACACATACACAGTGCTCTCTCATTGCTTTCTAACAGATGTGCTGTGATTATGGCATAGGTGTGTTGAGATATTGATCTTCTGGTCCTCTCCTCTGAGAAGAGCTGCCGTGAGGTATAATTCAGGGGCTAGTGTCCAGAGACGCCTGCCTCTGATCCATCATCAGTTGTTCCATCCATTTACCTGATGTGGAACTTCTTGTTTTCTCAAATATTTTATTAATATTTTCTTAAATATTTTATTCCATACCCATCAAGCTCAGTAGTTATGCAATTTTTACTCTTAAATCTATTTTATTTATTATTTATTTACTTACTTAGTTGGTTAGTTTTTGTTTGGAGGACAAGTACAATGGTACTGGAGTAGAGGCCAGAGGACAACTTGTGGGAGTCAGTTCTCTCCTTCTACCATGTGGGTCCTGGAGACAGAACTCTGGTCATTACATTTGGTTGCAGATGCCTTTGCCCACTGAGCTATCTTTCCAGTCCTTTAAATCTAACTTCAAAAGTTATATTCTTATACAATTTGTGACATGGCAGTAGTAGAAATATCTTCTCTATATGATGGAGAGCTACAAAAATGTCATCATTCTTCTTGAATGTTGTAATGTTTATAAACTTGGAAATCACTAGAACCATAAATTACTATTAATTTGCCTCATAATTCTGTTCTACTGAAGCAAGGATGTCACTAGTAGAACTTTAAGGAAGATAATGGATGAATAAGTAATCACAGTGGAGCCCATGACCAACATTTTATTAAATATTTAATCTCTACTAAACACTAATTATGCATTATGTCATCAGATCTCATAATAGCGGTGTAAAATAAGTGCTATTTTTAGATGATCAAATGGTGCCCTAGCTATATAGTTTCCTGCCTAGGTTAACTAACTGGAATACTGTAGAATCTGGACTAAGCTTTCACAGCCCTCTTTGTTGCTTGCTGATTATATTAACAAAGTAGAGTTAAACAGATCAAAAGTCTTCTGAATCAGGTTGCTTAATGCATCCATTAATTTAACAGTAAATATTAACTGTTGATCGTGTGAAGTATTAGATAAGTAAAAAGGCATAAAACCTCAACCTGAATGCTCTTACTTTTGATATGTTGTAGGGAGATAACCTAATCACTGAATGCCGCTATAACACAAAGGATAGAGTCGGGATGACATGGGTAAGACAATATTTTTTTATTAAAGTTCATTTATGGAAAGGAGAAATGACCTTTAATTTTGAAGAAGGAAAATAAAAGGCAAGACCAATTCCTATTTGCAAATGAAATTTCTGAAGTATTGTAAGGCGAAGTCAAAGCTGTGTCAGCATTTTATCAAACTTCAAAGTCCTGATGGCACTGTGATAATAGCTGCAGTGTAATTTATCGATTCTTTCAAGAAAAGCATCCTTCCTTATCTTTCAGTTTGTCTTCATCGAACAGATAAGGCATAAGGCATGTGGTCATTAACTGATCTCTACTTGGGTCCTAACTTAGATAAAGCCAGACTGAAAAAGGAAGAATTAAGTACATGAACCCTAAGAGAAGTCTGGTCCCAACAGATTTATTGGGGAATTCTGCCAAACATTCAAGAAATAGATATTTCATGCCTTGCTCAGTCTCCTCCAGAAACACAAATAGAGAACATCTCCCAACTCATTTTATGAAGCAAACATAGTTTAATACTAAAACTATATATAAGAATGACATCAAAGAGGTCAATAACATGAGCCTGTTGAAAACATCTTTGGCAAAATCTGCAGAATTACTCCATGTTTTATATACAAATATCATGTTAAAACGGATTTGGTTTACATAAAGGAAGTAAAGTTCACTTAAATCAGAAAATACATGCTAAGAGATTGAAGGAAAGAGATATGATTATTCCAAAACAGGGAGAAAAAATTCATAAAAGTTAAGCCTATCATGGGGGGGGGGAGGACTGTAAACCAGGAATATGAGAGAACTGCCTTGACTATATAAAAATGAGCTATGATAAAATCTGGAAGCAATATTAAACCAAGTGTGACACTAGAGCTATTCACAGTTATGTGAAGGACATTTGTTGTCACTACTTCTATTAAATTTCCTAAAATTGCACTATATTTTATAGGGAAAAAAGTGAGTTATAAATATGAAGAAGAAAAAACTGAAGACATAAAACAAAAAAGAGAGAAGTAAAGCATACCAAATTCTCCCAACAAATTTATACTTAAAAGTAATTGCATTTTAATGTCAAAGAAGTTATTTTGAGAAAATGTATAAAATATATATTGTATGTATTTTATGATATATAATTTAAAATATTAAATTACATAGAAATAAAATCGTACAGTAATTATATGCTTAATCTTGTAGATAAAAATAGAAATCTTTGTTGTGAGGCCATATAGGACAGCTAAGAAGATTACAAGATGCTGTACTTATGTATGACGCACATACAATTTATATACTACATTTTAAAATGTAATGTGCTCAAAGTATATTACATGCTTACATGAAAATATTCTTATTTAGCCTGGTGCCATGTATGATTATTTTATACAGTGATAAAAATTAATTATAAAGAAATAAAACAGAAAGGGCACACTCAGTAAACTGGAGAAAATTCTTCTGTTCAAAGTAGTATATAAATTTTATGTGATCCCAGTAGAAGACATTTAGAGAAATTTTATGATTTGGGGGTTTGATGTTCCGTAACACATTTATGCCTGGCCATGACTGAGCTTTTATCCTTTTTTTAAAATTTATTTTTTGCAAAATTGTTTACATTTTTAGTACTTCCAACAAAACTGTACTTGGAAGAGTGAAGGGTTAAGAACAGAAAAAACTGATAAAAAGAGTAAGGTGGGAAATAGGTTGCGGCATCTGAACCCTTATTTGAAAGCTGTGGTGACTAATCTAATAAAGCTAGTTTGGGTTAGATTAGTGGAATAGAACCGGGCTCCCTGAAACCAACCCATGAACCTATATCTGGAAATTTTGTTTAGGACTGAAACAATATTCAGAGAAGTAAGGAATTATGGCCTTTTTAATTTAAGGATAGGATAGTGGCATGTTTACTGGCATAATTGAGTGTCCATAAGAGGAAAATATTATCCTTTTAAAAATTTGTTGTTTTTTTTTTTTTTTTCTGGATAGGCTGACTAGATTCAACAGAAGGGCAAGTAGTGGTGCAAAATTGTTTACATTTTTAGTACTTCCAACAAAACTGTACTTGGAAGAGTGAAGGGTTAAGAACAGAAAAAACTGATAAAAAGAGTAAGGTGGGAAATAGGTTGCGGCATCTGAACCCTTATTTGAAAGCTGTGGTGACTAATCTAATAATGCTAGTTTGGGTTAGATTAGTGGAATAGAACCCGGCTCCCTGAAACCAACCCATGAACCTATATCTGAAAATTTTGTTTAGGACTGAAACAATATTCAGAGAAGTAAGGAATTGTGGCCTTTTTAATTTAAGGATAGGATAGTGGCAAAATTCAGTGTCCATAAGAGGAAAATATTATCCTTTTAAAAGTTTTTTTTTTTCTGGATAGGCTGACTAGATTCAACAGAAGGGCAAGTAGTGGGGATTAGCTGGGGTGCCAATAACACAGCAGACAGTAGTGGGGATATCAGAGTATAAGGGCTCTAGCCAGGGGAAGGAGGCTATGGGAGGGTGCCATCTGGGAAGTGGGTGTATAGTCGAATGAGATGGTTTGGGATGTTCAGTGTGATATACACACACAAAAAAATCAAATTTTTAAAAAACGTATTATATTTGAGGAAGAAGCTTGGGTTAGTAAAGGTGATAAACATTACCACTGAAATCCACCCGATGACTTTATAGACATACACAGGTGCTAAGGATTCAAGTACAACCGATTATGACTAGTAATAATCAGATACATACAGGTTAGAGATGCATGTGCCAACATCTCAGTGTTGGTAGCAAAAATAATGAGTCTTTCTGCAAGGAACAAAATGGGAGGGTGCCATCTGGGAAGTGGGTGTATAGTCGAATGAGATGGTTTGGGATGTTCAGTGTGATATACACACACAAAAAAATCAAATTTTTAAAAAACGTATTATATTTGAGGAAGAAGCTTGGAAATTTACATCATGCTAATTAGTAGAGGTGATAAACATTACTATTGAAATCCACCCTATGACTTTATAGACACAGGTGCTAAGGATTTGCGTACAACTGATTATGACTGGTAATAATCAGATACATACAGATTAGAGATGCATGTGCCAACATCTCAGTGTTAGTAGAAAAAACAATGAGTCTTTCTGCAAGGAACAATATATTCTAAAATGAAATGGAGATCTTTTTTAAAGGTTAAAAAACTCATTCAATTTTATGCCTTACAGGGCTTATACTGAATTCAATATTGTGTAACTGTATTAACTCAACTGTGAATAAAGTTTTTTTCTGTCTCTCTTATTTGAATAATTTCCATTGATCAGCCTTCGAATTCCTAGGTCATATCAGATATGCTGTTGAATACATTTTTACACCTTCAGCTCTAGAACTTCTATTTGTTTGGTTTCCTTTTTCTTTTGTATTATTTCCTGCTTTGGTGTCATCCCCAGCTCTTCACTCACCTGAACATGATTGTCTTCAATTTCATCATATTTTTCCTTAACTCTGATGATTTTTATAGCCTTTAATAAATCTAACATCTAATAAATCTAATAAATAATCTAATATGTCTAATAAATATAATATCTGTGTCTCCTCACAGTCTGTGACTACTGATGTTTTCTCTTGAGTAAATCACAATTTAATGTTTCCTTAATTTTTGTTGAAAACTAGACAGTAAAATATCTTGAAGATTCTGTTCTTCTGATGGTTGTTGAACTTTTAACTAAAATATTGTGGATTATTAACTATTTAGATTTAAAATGTGGTCCTTGCCATGATATATGGCTGCTGATATTTGTATCCATAAAGGTAAGATTATAGAAAATTGAGTTCAGTTAGAAAAAATTCTACCAGCCCTTGGCAGGTGAAGGCAGGAAGATAGGCAGTTCGGGGACAGCCTGAGACCTCCAACCCCTACACCCCTCAATAATTCCATAAACTTATTGGTATTATGCTAACCAGACATGATCAGGATCCTCTGAAATATCTACTGTGGTACAAGTTTATATCATATCAGTAGAGCTCTAAGGGTATTATTATTTAAGAATGGCCTGAAATACAGAGTCAGTTCAAGACCAACTTGAGAAACTTACTGAGATTTTGTGTCAATTTTTTTAAAAGTAGAGGCTAGCTCAATGACAGAATGCTTGCCTATCAACTCTGAGGTCCTGGGTTTGGTCCTCAGTACCACAAAAATATTGATAATAAATTGTTACTTTTCGATCTTAAATATCTAACACATTTCAGACCTGGAAGGAGCTGTGTATTGTTGGCTTTTGTGTGCTGTATGTGAGAACTGATAGAACACTGGAAAATAACCATCTCCATTTTCAGGGAGGACTAAGCACCAGGAATGAAATGTGTCTCTCATATCTTCTTTATTATCCAAGAATTAACCTTACCCGATGTGCAAGCATTCCCGATATCATGGAACAGCTGCAGTTCATCGGTGTGAAGGAGATCTACAGACCCGTCACGTAAGTAGTAAATGAATTTTTTGGTAGCGTTTATATGCTTCCAAGACATGTAAGCCTCATTTTCATAATGAGACAGCTGTATTTTGGAGTTATTTTATGTGCTGCCCTTTCTGATTACTTGAAACTCAGAAGACCAAGTAAGCTTCTTGGTTGCTATGGCCAAGGTTCCCAAAACCATGCTCAGGATCAGTGATTTTCCAGGACCTAAAAGACTCAGCATTTACCTGTATTCCTGGATAATCTTCATAATAGGGAAAGGATATGAAGGGAAATGAGCAAAAGGAAAGGTGCACAGGGCAAAGTCCAGAGCAAGCAGGCTTCCACCAGGCCTCTCCAGGAGTGAATCAAACACAGAGTATGAATTGAATTGTGATGATAAGCCGTAAGTGATGCGTCCAAGCAAAGCTCATTAGGGTGTCTTTGCCCAGACTTTCTACTGGGGATGGTCACATAGGTTCAAATTCCAGACTCACAGATAGAAACCAAGTGTTCAGCAGAAAGCCCATTGACTACAGTGTCCAGGCAGATTGAGTCATTCCTATCCTTGAGAGAAAGTTTTATATCAGTATAGCAAATTGTTGATTATTCAGTTTTGTAGATATTAGATTCTAGGCAGAAGTCAACTTTGGACAAATGTCAAAAGCAAACCTTGGAAGCCTTTTGGTTTTTTTGAGACAGGGCCTTGCTGTGTGACTCTGGTTGCCTTCAACTCTTGATCCTCCTGACTCTGCCTCCCAAATACTGGGATTCTTGTTGTGTACCTCCATGCCAGAGTGGAAGCAGGTGTTTATGTGGGCAGTCGTTTCAAACCTGCTTTGTAAACTCTGAACAGCTGCATATCATTGGAACTACTTATGGTTAAATAATAAATAAGGTAAACAGGGAAGAAAGACAAGTAGATAAACCATAGTGCCCAGCGTGAGGGCTACAGAGAGTAGAACACTTAGCTGTCTTCAGGCGTGCTGCTGGCACTGAGAACACCAGGTATAAGGTCCAGGAGCCAGTGGGCTACGTCCTGCTTAACATGGTGGCCACGAGCCACAGGAGTCTGTTCTACTTTTTTTAAACTTTTAAAAAATTATTGAGAATTTCATACATTCATACAAGGTGTTTTGATCAAATCCACACCCACTCCCTCCCCCACCAACCCCTCCCATATCTCCCCATCACTTTTTCCTGAACAACTTCCTGTACTCTTTTTTTTTAATGGGGCTTTTTGCTACTCTAACATCCCCCTCCCCCGAAGAGGTAACTCTAAACTCTTTCCAGGGATTAGATACGTGCTCCCAAATACTTTTGACATTTTTGGCATTTGGAACAGAACAGGTCACTAAGAGGCCCAAGGACATTTAGAATTTTAGAGAAGAAACTGGCTACTTTTCTTCGGGGTCTTTTAACCCTAACTGCTTAGCCAAATCCTACCTCCCTTTCTTATCACACCATCCCTTGAAGGTTACCCAAATTGTGTATGAGGAATTGGGACACAGGCCACTCTGGCTTCTTCCATGCTGAGCAGGGACGTGAGGCAATTATGGTACCCTTCGGTGGTTCTATTTCAAAGACTTCCAAATTGTATAACTCTTAACTGTAGGGAGAAAAGAAAGTCTTTGACTGGTGAATAGGAGATGTGAAGGAAAAGTAAAGGCAAGAGTAATTAGCATTACAAGTTCTAGACAGGGACCTGTAAAAAGTTAAAACGGGGCAAATTTCAAATGTTCATATCAGAGTCCATTGGAGTTTCTTGATGAGAGCTTCAAAAAGCATCCCTCCATTGTGTTCCTCCTCATTTTTCTTTTGTCTGCCAAGCCTGGTCTTGAGAGTGATGGACTCAGGATTTGTTTTCAGGCACTTTGATAGCTGTTGGAGTGGCTAGAATCAGTGTCAGTTCCCTCACAAAGGCTTCTAGATAGGGGGAGAAAACAAACTTAGCCATCATTTTAGAACAATAGTGGGTTGTCTCCCTTACCTACAGGTGGGCACTACAGTATTGCAGACCAGGATTTGAAGTTTTACATCTGAGCAGCACTTTGTAATTAAAAACAATATCATCAATGAAAAATAATTGTCTAAATAACATTTTATATGGACTTTAGTCTAATATCTGAGAAGTGTGCTCTTGCACTCTTACACCCTTGAACTCTTAAATATACTGATCACTTTAATCTTTGGTTATACTTTCCTTTTGGGTGTTTAAGACCATGCAGTTGGCCCAAATAAATCAATTTATTTTTATTCTTAAGGTCATTTGAGGATCTGTTCCTCAGGGGTCACCTGGGCTTGGGAGGAGCTCCTGGCTCCTTGCTTTTACCAGTTCCGCCTATGTGAAGATAAGTCAAAGGTCCTGCTCAACCATGGTTGGCTTCACTTGGAAGCATGGAGGAAATGTTTCTTCTGCATTGACCTTCCTTTTTTAAACTGGACACTGTCTCAAGTCCATCTGGTGGGGTCTCCATGGCCTCCCTGAACAAGAGGACAGGTGACTCACCACAGTTCCAGGACATTTTGATAGATGCTCCATAGTCCCCTGGAACTTAATTGACCTTGGAGGGCAAGGAGCAAAAAAACTGTCCTTTAAGTCCCTGTGACCACATTAGTATAGGCCTCGAAATATGGCTGTTAAACAGCCAAGAAGGTTAGCTCCACCAGTCTGGTACTTTTAATTACCATATACTATGTAGATAAAGCTTGGGCAAAACCCAGATGTTCTCAGATAAATCTTGACTAGACATATATTTCGTTCCTTAAACTAGTTGACTAAACTATGACCTTAGAAATTTTAAGATTATGTATATATTACTTTTGTCTCATCCTTTCTATATCATAACAAACCTACGCAGACTTCTATTTTTAATCTTTTTAAGATTTTACCCAAACATTTTCTTAAGTTTTTATTCTTCTTTTTTTTTTTTCCTTTTTTATTTCCCCAGTGATCAGTGGTTGAAACAGGGTGTCACTCTACAGCCCAGACTGGCCTCAAACTAATGCTAGTCCTCTTGCCTTAGTCTTCTAAGTACTGGAACTATAGGCATGAACATATGACTAGCTTCAAGTGCTTTCTTTTGAAAATTTTCAGTATTCAATTTCCAGATCTTATTTTTCCAATTTACTTGACACAAAAATTTATTTTGTCTTAAATTTACTTATTTTGCTCTGCCATCCCCCTTTAATTCATTCTGTTGGTTCATCGTCTTGTACTTGAACTTTTACATCATTAAATTCATGTCATTAAAATAAACTACAAAAATGAAATAATTTTCAGGACTTTCTCCAGTTTAATTTGTTCATATTTTCCTCTAGGCTCAGTTTGCCTGTAGTTTATAAGCCGTATTATATAATTAAAAGCTCCCCGTGTTTCACAGTTGAGGTTTCATTTCTTAATTTTGAGGCAATTCTGTCTGAAACTTCACCTACACATATCTAAGCCTAGCTTGCTTGCTTTCTACCCCACAGTTTGAGAATTAGATGACTTGTGTTAAGCACATGTGCTTCCATAGTTTGAGAGTAAAGGACAGGGGATGCTGGGACTGAACACTTCATGGTAGGATGTGTGTATGGTTCATACCTCCAGTTTATTAAAACTCTTTTCAAGGCTGCTTTCCCCCTGGTAGGCTGGATCACTTTCATAGAGAATGCAGTATCTTTGGACCTGGCTGTCTAGTCTCTTGCCCCTAAAGCCTGTCTTCTGTCAAGGAGACTCCATCTGGCTGTGTTCTTTGCAGTATTCATTCAGAGTGTGAGCAGGATTACAAATTGTGCCTTGCTGACTCAGATGTCCCACCTTCCTTTCTTCCTTAACAATCAGATTGTCAAGTTTATGACATCATCTTGTATCTTGGTTTTGGCTTCCTCTTGATGACCTGCTTTTGTCTGTTTTATCCATAATTTTTAGTCAGTTGTTTAGGGCATGGCTCATGAATAAGTGTACACGTTTTAAATATACTCTAAGAAAAATTGTCAGTGCTGCACCAATTCAACCCCACCACAAACAATATAAAGGAGCATGTCAGGGCCACGCCTCTCATAAAGTTCAGGGAAGCTGAAAATCTGCTTTATGTCACTATATATCAGTTTCTTCCTTTCTGTAGTAGGATTATAGCCTGTATTCTTTCCTTTCTGACTTCTTTTACTAAAAATGATTCTGAGATTTGTCCATGCCTGAGGATGCATCAGCATCAATACAGTACCTTTCTCTTGCTGAATAATAGTCCCTGGGTGAATGTACCTCCAACAGATGCACCACTGCAGGAGTTAGATTTCAGCATCAATTTTGGAAAGACATAAGCATTCAGACCACGGCAGGGGGCTACTGGGAACAAGCCAGTATCTCTCCAATTCAGGATGTTTCATTCCCAGAATATTTTATAGTTAATTTTTAGAACTACAGCAACAAAGAAGGCTTGGTTAGTTCAAAACTACCCTATAGCTTCCCTGTAGTCACTTGTGGGTGTGTGCGTGTGTATATGTGTGTGTGTGTGTGTGTGTGTATACAGCTGTGTACTCCTTGTTACTTTTTTATACAAGTTTATTGTTTATTGTATATTGTTTAATTGAATCACCTATTTTCCTATTGAATTGTAAAGCATACTTTATATTTTGGATATTGGTCTTTTGTCAACATTGAGTCACATAATTTTCCCAACATTTTTAACTGTTTACTGAAATACCTTCTCTTTGTGGCTTGTTTTGCACTTTTGAAATTCTGAGAAATCCTTGTCCACCAAACATCATGTATATTTCTATTGTGTTGTTTTTTCCTCTAAAAGTTTAATTTTTCACATTTAGATTGATGACTTGTTTTTAATAGATTTTTCATGTGGTGTGAGGCAAATCTAAAGTTCATCATCAAACAAATATCAAGTTGCTAAAGAACCACTTGGTCAAAGAAAACCTTCTTTAATTTTTTTATATTTTTAATTAATTAATTGTGTGTGTATGTATATATGCATGTCAGCATATGCATGCTATTGTGTATGTGTGGAGGACAACTTGCAGGGGTCAGT